AATTGCAATGCAACGCGTTTGCAAAGTAATGCAAAGCATTCAGTGCGATGCAGTTGCCAGGCAATGCCAAGCAAAGGAATGCAATTCGATTTAGATACAACGCAATGCGAGAACAATGCAATGCGATTGCAATGCAACGGGGGGAGCGGGGGGTGAAACGGGGTGGCGGCGTCGGACGGGGACTGGGTCGTCGGCCCCGCAGGTGGTTTTTGATTTGTGAGACTGTTGCGGCGACGGACGGAAACGGTGCCGCCAGGGCGTCGGACGGGCCCAGTTCAGTAAGTGCAAGCACCGTTTAGGGAACCATGCTTTCACAATTGTCAACTCGTATTCTCCATTTCCTGAGATGCGGTTCTTGTTACTACTTCGACGTCGCCGACTCCCTCACACACACACACTTGCAGTCACACCTGTTTACACTCAGTCACGCGCCAACTCGCACAGAGACGCTCACACGCAAATTCAGTCATAACCAGACTCACTGACACTCAGTCTCACTCGACTTAGAGTCACTCACACTCATACTTACCCACACGCAGACTCACTCACACTCGGACCCACTCACACTCAGACTCGCTCATACTCAGACTAATCAATAATCAGACTCCCTCACGCTCTAACTTACTCACACTAAAACTCACTCACACTCTGACTCACACCTACCCCGACTCACACTCAAATTCGCTCGTACTCAAACTCACGCACCTTCAGTCACCCTCATTCTCGTTTTCACTCGTGATCAGAGTCTGTCGCTCTCAGACTCGCAGGGTTCGAGGATATCTTAGGCGAGGCTCTGGTTTCAGCAAACCCAGCGCCGCCAGTGCGTTTGCAAGGAACCGTTCGCGCCTAGATTGTGGTCACGTCTAAGGCGGTTGCCGGTTTCGGTGCCCAGGCTCGATTGCTTTCAGAGCAGATTGTGACGATGTCTCGGGCGAGGCGGTGGATTTAGCCTCCCAAGGGGAAGCCGCCAGGGTGTTTGCACGGGCCCGTTCGCGCCCAGATTGTGGGGATGTTTTTGGGGGTTTGCTTGTTCGGGTGCCCAGGCTCGTTTGCTTCCAGAGCAGATTGTGAGGACGTCTCCGGTGAGTTGCTGGTTTCAGCACTCCAAGGGGACTAGCCTGTTGAGACGTCTCAGGCGGATTGACGTCTCAGGCGGATTGCATGTTTGGAATTCCTCGCCTTTCTGATCAGTTGTTACGGATGTCTCGGGCGAGGCGCTGGCTTCAGCACCCCGAGGGGCCCAGGTTGCGGGGATGTCTCGAGCGGTTTTCTTGTTCGGTGGCCGGGACTCATCTTAAGTCGGGCCTGGCCCTCTACAGGAGGAATATTCAGCACTAGTCCAACAATGTCATGGGGACTATTTTTTCCAATTTTTCAAGCAAGTTCGGAATAAATATGTGTGGGCTATCTGTTATTTTTCTTCCAGAATCCGCCTGTAGGGGGACATGCCCGACCTGAGACTCGTCTGCTTTCAGAGCAGGTTGTCAGGCTTCCTTGGGCGTGGCGCGGGCGTCATGACCCCAGGGGGGCGCCGGCGGCGGCCCCTTTCGCACCAGATGGCAGGGGCGTCTCGAGCGGCTTGCGCGTGTGGGGCCGCCCAGCCCCGTCGGCTTTCGGAGCAGATTGTGAGGATTTTCCATCCACCAAACCATCCCAACTCCTTCTCCTCCGCCTCCTCCTCCTCCTCCTCCTCCTCGTCGTCCTCCTCCTCCTCAACCCAACCCGAAGGCCCAAGTTTACCTTCGATTTCCAGTGGGCCGGGGGTCGGGGAACATGGAAAATACACGTGTGGAACCCGTACCCCCCCCATTCAAAGCGTGGGTCTTCGGGTTATGTTGGGGTGGTCTGGTAGGTGGTCAGGCTGCAGCACCCCAGGGGGGAGCCGCCAGGGATGTGTGCACTCGCCTGTTCGCGGCCAGATCGTGTCTATGTTCATGGCTTCTGGTTGCGTTGTGGACGTTATTCTCCGGCGCCTTCCATCTATGGCCGGCATTGCGGTTGGGCCTCAAATATAGGTGCATGAACGCAGTCATTGTGTTTTGTGCATGTCACGCTGATCCCATGGCCGGCACCTGTGCGCATTGGGCTTCCGATAAGTTCGGTTTCCAATATATTGGGATGCCCAATAATTTTGGTTCCCTATATATTGATTTTCCAATGCGTTAGGTTTCCAAGCTGTTGTGTTTCTGATATACGGTTGCCAACGAAACGCAAGCCCAAACCCAAACGCAAGCCCAAACCTTTTCAGTCCATAGGTCTAGTGTGGCCCTAGTAGTAGTGGTGGTGGTGGTAGTAGTGGAGTAGTGGTAGCAGTCGAAGTAGGAGCAGCAGTACTAGTGGTAGTCGTAGTAGTAGTGGTAGTATCATTATTATTATCTTTATTATTAGTAGTATTATTATTAGTAGTAGTAGTAGTAGTCGTAGTCGTAGTCGTAGTCGTAGTCGTAGTCGTAGTAGTAGTAGTAGTAGTAGTAGCAGTTGTAGTCGTAGTGGTAGTAGTCGTTTTATTCGTAGTAGTAGTAGTAGTAGTAGTCGTAGCCGCAGTAGTAGTAGTTGTCGAAGGAGTACTAGTAGTACGGGTAGCAGTAGCAGTAGTCGTCGTCGGAGTAGCAGTAGTCGCACTACTATTCTTATTACCCCTACTACTACCAGTTCTAGTAGTACTGCAGTACTGGTGCTAGCTAGTAATACTACTCGTAGTAGTAACAGTTGTACTCGTCGTGCAGGAAGTAGTTGCAGCAATGGAAGTAGCAGAAGTAGCAGTAGTGGTAGAAGTATCAGTAGTCGTCGTCGTAGTAGTGGTAGTAGTAGTAGTAGTAGTAGTAGTCTTTGTGGTAATAGTAGTCGTCGTAATCTTATTCGTAGTCGTAGTTGTGGTCGTGGTCGCGGTGGTGGAAGTAGTAGTAGTAGTAGTAGTAGTAGTAGTAGTAGAAGTAGTAGTAGTCGCAGTAGTAGCAGTAGTAGCAGTAGCAGTAGTAGTTGTTGTAGTTGTACCTGTAACAGTAGTAGTAGTAGTAGTAGTAGTAGTAGTAGTAGTAGTAGTAGTAGTAGTAGTAGTAGTGGTAGTGGTAGTCGTAGTAGTAGTAGTAGTAGTAGTAGTAGTAGTAGTAGTAGTAGTAGTAGTAGTAGTAGTGGTAGTCGTAGTAGTAGTAGTAGTAGTAGTAGTAGTAGTAGTAGTAGAGTAGTAGTAGTAGTAGTAGTAGTAGTAGTAGTAGTAGTAGTAGTCGTAGTCGTAGTAGTAGTAGTAGTAGTCAGTAGTAGTAGTAGTAGTAGTAGTAGTAGTAGTAGTAGTAGTAGTAGTAGTAGTAGTAGTAGTAGTAGTAGTAGTAGTAGTCGTAGTAGTAGTAGTAGTAGTAGTAGTAGTAGTAGTAGTAGTAGTAGTAGTAGTAGTAGTAGTAGTAGTAGTAGTAGTAGTAGTAGTAGTAGTAGTAGTAGTAGTAGTAGTAGTAGTAGTAGTAGTAGTAGTAGTAGTAGTAGTAGTAGTAGTAGTGGTAGTAGTAGTAGTAGTAGCAGTAGTAGTCGTAGTCGCTGTTTGGTTGTAGCAGTAGCCGTGGTAGTACTCGTTCTGGTTGTAGCTCTACTGGTAGTGATATTGGTAGTCGTTGCAAATAGTAGTAGTCGTAGTCGAAGTCGTAGTCGTAGTAGTAGTAGTAGTAGTAGTAGTAGTAGTAGTAGTAGTAGTAGTAGTAGTAGTAGTAGTAGTAGTAGTAGTAGTAGTAGTAGTAGTAGTAGTAGTAGTAGTAGTAGTAGTAGTAGTAGTAGTAGTAGTAGTAGTAGTAGTAGTAGTAGTAGTAGTAGTAGTATGTGTAGAGCTAGCGTTGAGTGGAGCGTTCGTAGTCGCAGTCGTGGTGAGAAGCCCTTGAGGTGGTAGAAGCAGCAGTGGTCACACCGTTTAGGACATGTGAAACGACAGAATCGGCCGCAAGCAAGAATTGTCCCGTAAGGGGATGGGGGAGCGAGGCAGGGGAAAGGGGACATCTTTTGCTCTTTTACTCATTTCTCTTCTAGGCGCCGAGAAGGGAGCCGAACGTGTCTGGCGTATCAGCAAGACCTCGCGCACGGAAGCCGTGCTGCTCGCACGCGTCGCGCCCCCGGTTCACATGGACGACAGTTCCCCTTTCCCTTTTCTTTCACGTTCTTCTGCGCAGCCTCCGCGACCCTTTTCCTCCGCACGTTTCGTACGTCCTTATATTCGCTCTGCTGCTGTTCCTTGTCCTTCTTCTCCTGTGCATCCTCTACCGTTTTTCTTTCACCCCTGCGAATTCACATTCCGCCATCTTTTTCTTTTCTCGAGATTGTCATGGCCCTCTTCATTTACGAAGCACAGACGCAGCGGTGGACTTGCACGCAAGTGTCTCGGCGTGGAGTCCATGGCGCATGTTTACTTCCGCTTTCTCACCCTCCGGTCCCTCCTCCGCTTCCCCGGCTGTTGGGCCGTTCCCGAGGCAGTTCTTCAGCGCCACAGTGTTGTGTTGGCTGTGCTCCGCTGGAAGGCTTTGCAGCCAGGGCGGTGAAAAACAATAAAAAATTAGCCGGTCGGGTTCGGGAGGGGCTCGTTTTTCTTTGAGTCGATCCACGGTTGTTCCTCCAGCGCTCCCCTTGCACCCGAGCTCTCTGGGGGCCAAGGATCGGGGCAAGGGATATCATCCACGAGCACCTCCTTGGGGATCGATCGTGGACCTCCGCAGGCGGTGGATGTGGATACACTGTGGCCCCCGGGGGCCCAACTGTAGCCGTATCCATGCCCGCCGGGTATGGATAAGTCCCCGCCTCGCAGAGGACATCTCCGTTCGTTCTGTCGTGTTCCTTGAGGCAGCAGCTTGCCCGCACACTCACAGAGGCTTTCGTTCGTCACGCTTGCCTTTCTCCTCTGCTTTCTCTCTCTTCCCCACCTGGCCGCTCTTCCTACTCCTCCCCCTCATCGTGCGCCCTCTCATCGTCTGGTCCCTACCAAGATTCGACTTCCTGTCCTGTTCCTCGTTCTGACGGCGGAGGGGAGAAACCTGGCACATGGGCTTTCCAAATCCTCGTGATCATGTGCGCCGTCGTGGAGCTCGGCATCTGGAAGGAGGACCGATTTTTGTGGGAGGAAGATCCACCACGGGGTCTCAGGGAGGATTGGCTCCGCTGTTGTGGTAGGAGGATGGAAGGAGGAGGAAGAGGAGGAGGAAGAGGAGGAAGACTGGAGGTGGAGTGGAGGAGGATGGTAGGAGGAGGCCTGAATGATGAGGGGGGAAGGAAGAAGAGGAGGAGGAGGAGGAAGATGAGGTACAATGACAGCAATTTCGCTGCAAATCGCCACGCTGTGCTGGGCAGATGACGGGCAGGGTCATGAGGAGGAGGAGGAGATGGGGGAGGAGGAGATGGATGATGATGATGAGGAGGAGGTCAGTAACTTGCCGCGGTGCTGCACCATGATTCTCATTTGAGCGACGCAAACCATCTGGGGTCGTCTGCGCTGACATTGGCGCGTAAGCTGCCCGCGGAAGCTCGAGCGTAAGCGCCCTCGTCACCAATGTGACGTGCCGCGCTTGCGGCCCGCGTGAGCTGCGGCGAAAGGTCGCTGTGCCATCTCGCGCAAGGCCCCTCTATTTTCGTCACCCAGTTGAGCCCCCACGAGGACCCGGACAGGGAGCCGGGAGACTTCGGCGACCCCGCCGGCTTCACGAAGGTCTTCCCGTACGACGAGGACTGCGCGGCCGGCGCCCGTCGGGCCCTCGCATGTCCTCGCGGGGGCAGCGGCACGAGTTCCCGGCCCCCCATCCCCGCTCTGCGATGAAGACGTGGCTCGCCAGTAACCAAACATCGAACGGGGCTAGGACGAGGATAGGTCCATGTCAGAGCGTTCCTGGACGCTCTGAGAGCGCTCCTGAACGCTCTCAGCGCGTTCCAGAACGCTCTGAGAAGGCCACGGCGCCCGAGACATCCTCCAGACATGCTGCTGAGGCCGCCGCTTCTGTCCTCCGAGGAAGGAGATAGTCAAGAGGGAAAAACACACAGACACAATTCATCGTCCACTCCCAGGAAAAGATAGGAAAATATGGGACGTGGGGGGGAGGACAAAAACCCAGAAGATATAGGAACACATGGGGGATCCTCTTATTTGTGTGTATCTATTTGTGTGTCCCAGGGCCCCTTCAAATAGGTCCTGTGCGGAGCGGGTGCCGGACCCGCGGGGCTCCCCACGATTCCCGTCTGAGCCGGTTTGGCGTCTGAGTCAGCTTTGTCGCCGAATGCTTGGCATCGCTCGGTGCGTGTGCATTTTTCCTCCGGCGAGGGCCATCGAGGAGCATCCTGGATCATTTGGCGACAAAGCCACGCACGAAACCGAAAAAAACGCACAGGGAATGGACGTCCGAGCGATGGCGAGAGGGGGCAGCAGAACGAGCGGGCCGCACGTCCGAGCACGTGCGGCCGCCGAGTGGGCTCGCTCGTGCGGCCAGTCGGCGGCCGACGGGGCTCAGGCGCCGGACGGGCTCAGAAGGGTCGGGGCTGGACAGAACCCCCAACAGTGACACGTCGATTAGTGAATTGTCCGTTTTCGGCTCTCGAGAGGGCGCCGTGGCCGTTATTTTCCAGGCTTGCGCCCGCCGGGTTTGGGCCCGAGGTCGTTTTCACTAAACCACGTTTTGCTAAAGGGGGTTCTGTCCATCCCCGAAAGGGGGCCCTGGAGCTCTCCACGGGGCCAGCTCCTCGTCCCGCGTCGTTGCCTGACAGTTCCGCGCCCCGTGGGAAGCCCCTGGGATGGAGGACCGGCGGACAGCTTCCAGGACCCGTCTGTTTTCTTCAGGGCCCGTTCCTTGCCTTTCACGCTGAAGAGGGCAAGAAGAGAGAGTGACACAGAGAGAGAGAGAGAAGAAAAACAAGTATATGCATATGCATATAGATGTAGAGAGAGAGAGAGAGAGAAAAAAAGAGAGAGAGAGAGAGAGCGGTTCTGCGCGCCCAGAATGGGAGCTGAAGAAACGGGTACGATGCTCCAGGCCTCCCACCTGCGGTCCGAGCAGATGGAGGATCGGGTCGCATGGCCAATGAATCGGTAATGCGGCTCGATGTTGAGCCTGATTTCCTCCACGCCGACGTTGCATCGGCGATGCGGCACGATTTTCTGACCCCATGTACTCGGACCGCAATCTGGGAGGCATCGAAATGCCCAGCAGCAGTTCATGTTCTTTATTTCGTTTAGTTAATGAATTGCTGTCCGTGAGTCACCGCTTTCTTGTCCACCTGGCAGCTTCTCTTGTCCATTCGGCCGCTCTTCCTGTGCATGCGTCAGCTCTTCTGGTTATGTTCGGTTAGGTTCTGTTGTTGGGCATAGCGCCCATGGGTCTCCAATGCAGCCACAGAGGGTCGTTTGGGGATCGCTACCCCGCCCCTTTCTCCCTCCTCCTCCCCTCCTCCTCCTGCTCCTCCTCTTCCTCCTCCTCCTACTCGCGGACTCCTGCTCCTCCTTCCTCCTCTCCTTCTGCTGTCTCATTCTCCCCCCTGGGCCCTCGGCGGGGGCGGCCCGACTGCCTCGGAGGCTGAGCGTGCGAAGGCATCCGTGCCCAGTCGCCGCATTCCCAGACGGCGTGCCTCGCTGTGCCAATTCTTCGGCCCGCTCCCGCCCCGTGGGCGTCCAAGAGGGGGCTGTGGGCTGGGGTCTGCGCGTGCATGGTGGCCAGGGCCATGATCTCTCCCAGACGTCGTGCCCCCCTCTTCTCGCTGGTTCAGGGATGGGGTCCTGAGGGGTGGGGTCCTCAGGACGGGCTGCTCCAAACAGTGCAAGTGCACCCTCGGCTTCCTTCCTATGCTTGGGGCCCCATCCCTCAGGACCCCATCTTTGAACCACCGATCTTCTCCTTTCACCGGTTTGCCCTGCCCCCCCCCCCCCCCCTGTCCGCACACGTAGGGGGCCACATGCGAACCCTACCCCTACCCCCCCCCCCCGATTTCTGAGGGGGAGGGCGGGGTTCACCTCGTTCGGGAGCTCTCAAGCGAAGTGAACCCCACCCTCCCCCTCAGAAATCGTGGGGGGTAGGGGTAGGGCTCGCACGTGGCCCCCCAGGAGGTGCCCGACGCCCCGTGGCGCATCGACGGCGCCGCGTCGCCGCAGAACACGTTAGGTCTCGCATGTGGCCCCCTGACACGTGCCTCGGGCCACGGTGCGCTGGCCCCCCTCTCGCCGGCGCGCCCGCCCCGCGCCCCCGGGGGCGTGCGGCGCCAGAGGACATGCGCAACCGCGAGCTCAACAACGGCCGCATGGCCATGTTCACGGCGGTCGGCATCCTTGCGGCAGAGGCCGCACTGGAGCGCGGGGAGGAGGAGGAGGAGGAGGAGGAGGAGGAGGAGGAGGAGGAGGAGGAGGAGGACGAGGAGGAGGAGGAGGAGGAGGAGGAGGAGGAGGAGGAGGACGAGGAGGAGGAGGAGGAGGAGGAGGAGGAGAAGGAGGAGGAGGAGCGGGCGTCGAAGAGGGGGTCGAGGGCCATGTGTGTGGGCGGAAGGCATGCCCCTCTTGTCTCTTGCATCGCATTGTATGCGTTTCGGCTTTGTCCGCGCGCGTCCGTTTCCGCGTCTTTCTCTGCGTGTGACGGCTCTCATCGAGTCCACCTCTTCTCTACGCCAGGTGGTAGGTCGCCCAAGCGCATTCCGGCGTAGCGCTCGCGATGGTGTAGCCACCTCGCCGCTGGAGGAGCAATGTGGGGATAACATGGCCGGGGGCAGGAGGTCTTCCAGACTTTCTGGCCCCGCGTGTTGTTTGCATGCGTTCTCTGCCCCCGCCCCTTCGTCTGCGCACACGCCTCGGCCTATGATCAATCCGATCGATCCGATCCGATAGTGTCGATTCTGGCTCGCCAGATGCAGTTCGATTCCGATACTTCGGCCACCCGATGCGGGCAGACGCCTGCATGGCGCTATTGTGCACCCTGGCGCTTCCGATCCGGTTCGATACCGACTCTGTGTCGATGCGGCCGATATGGCGCACGTTCCGATTTGATCCGATATATGTGTTCGATGTTGGCAGCTCCTGCCCTGTTGTGTCCCCCTCCTCTCGTCTTTGCCATGGTAATCCCGGGTTCCAGCACTCCTTTCCCTGCTTTTCCCTCCATCCTCTGCCTTGCACTTGCCGTCCTCAGTCCATCCGTTATGTCCCCTCTTCTCCTCGTGTTCTTCACATGCTTCCCTCTCCCCTCGTCCTCTGATTTTCAAGCACGCTCCCAGTACGACCCAGGCCCCTGACGTCGTAATGCGCGTACATCATGGACTCCCGAGGGTTTGGCTTCAGTCGGGTATGCCCCTTTACAGGAGGAATATCCAAGAATAGTCACACATTAGTATGCTGACGATGTTTCATGCTCTTTTGACTATGCTTGATCATTGTTTGTCTATGCTTGTATTTCTCTTCCGAAACCCGCCTGTCGTAGGACGTGCCCGCCCTAAGTTTAGACCCCTTTATTGGGACCGCCTCTTCGTACCGAGCCTGTCTCTGACGGCCCTGGGGGCTCGGCGAGGGCCCCCGGGGGCCGCACGGGTGCGAGGCAGATTCCACCGTGGCTCTGGTCGAGACGAGGGGGAGGCCCCTGGGCGCCCCTCGTGCTGGGAGCGTCAGGGCTCGATAGACGGCGGTGCATTCAGACGGGGTGTGGTCGTTTTCCCACCCCTTTTCCCCCTCTTGAGTCCTCCTTGCATCTGACCATAACCTCAGGCTCAGGGCCGCTGAAGCAGCTGATGTGCGCATACTGCACTGTGCGTTCCTGAGGAGCTCCCTGTAAAACTCCATGCCCATCTTCTGACAACACGTTATCTCCAGGCCATCCGATGACGATCTCAGGGGGTAAGTCAGAGCGCTGGACCTTTCAGAATCCTGTAGAGCCAAGGGTGCATTGACCTGGGCGAGCGCGCAGAATCCTGCAGGATCCTGCAGGGATCTTGCAAGGCCTGACTGACCCAGGTTTGCATGGAGCTGGGTCGACGAGCCCGGCGAAATTAGCGAGAACCTCCACGATATCGACGACGATGC